GTAATAAGAAAAAAGGAGGAAGAGGGAGTGAGGGGGAGGAAGAGAGGGAGAGAGAGAGAAAGAGGGAGAAAAGGAAGAGAAAGAATTGAAAAAGTTTGATGTTATTTATTGTGACATTTTTTCTTTCCAGATGGAATTATTATCATAAGATGAAATTAGGAGGTGTTATTGCCTGAACACATTTCAAATTGATGTTATGAGTAGAATAAAACAGAATGGAATGGAAGAGAATAAAGTGGAATAGAATAGAATGGGATGGAATGAAATAGAATGGAAGAGAATATGATAGAGTAGAATAGAATTGAATAGAATTAGAATAGGATAGAATAGAATAGAATGGAGTAAGGTAGAATAGAATAAAATTGGAATAGAGTAGAATAAAATAGAATAGAATAGGATGATATAGAATAGGATAGGGTAGAATAGAATAGAATGATATAGGATAGGATAGAATAGAATGGATAGGGTAGAATAGAATAGAATACAATGCAATATAGTAGGGTAAAACACGACAGAATAGAGTAGAATGTAATAGAATAGAATGGAATAGAATAGAATAGAATAAAGTAGAAGAGAATAGAGTGTAGTAGAATAGGAGTAAGGTCGAAAAGAACAGATTTTATTACACCATTTCGGCTTTTTTTTTTTCTACTTTGCTTTAACCACTGTGAGGACTATCAAATGGTTGGTTTGAACAGCTCGGAACGATATGTGTTAGAAAATGTGTTCCTTCTTTAATTCACTCCATCCCTTTCACTTTTTACATCCTATCTTTTGCTTTTCCTATCATTTTATGACGGAATTCCTGAAAGTATGCTATTTAATCCGATCCGATTAGAAAATTCCGGTTAAACTATTCCAAGTATTGTTATTTCTTGATGATAAATAACAGCATTACACGGTTATGAATTAGTTTCCGGAAAAAGTTTAATGATATAAATGTATTTTCAAATTGTTCCAATTTACTCAACCAATTTACTTTATATTGTATTGTTAAAAAAATTTTTTGAGATCTTCAAAATTTTAAATTTAATTTAATTTTGTTCGACTTTTTCATCCTACCATTCAATATATGTATATATTTCGATAAAACTTTTCAATTAAATTTAAAATTGCAAAAATTTCAATTTAATCATTAAACAAAAATTATTCCATCCAAATTAATTTATTTAACTCATATTTTGCATTTCTCTCATTCTTCCTTCTTTACACTAACCTCATCCTTTCCTTCATTTCTTCCCTAGTTTTAAAAATATTTCTTGTTGGAAAGGAATGCAAACAAGAAGATTGTATTCTTAGTGCTTATCGATCCTCAACAAACATCATTTCATCTCATTAAAATTTTTTTAAAAAATCACTACAAAAATAACTTAAGTAATCACGGATTAATTAACTAATTACACTAATTAATTGGCTAGTGAACTAGTTGCGGAATTAACTAATTACAGATTTTACAGTATATTAACTAAAGGATTAAAATTGTAATTGTAAAAAAAAAAAAGTAATTTTACGACATTTGAAAGGTGCGGACAAACATCATCGAATGATTATCTTCATATATTCACCATGTGAAATAGATCGTATAAATGTCAAAGGTAGTTATGTTAAATGTCAACTTTTATCATTAATAATCTCAAAACAAAACAAAAAAAAGAGTGGTGGACAGATTTTACAGTATACATTAACCAGGAATAAACCATGGACAAACCTTATACATTAACCAAGTTATGGACGGAATTTACAGTATAATTAGTGAAGTTACAGACAATAACTTTACAGTATGCATTAACTAGGTTACGGGCAAACTTTACAGTGTACATTAACCGGGCTGCAGACAGACCATGGACAAATATTATAGTATGCATTGACCAGGCCATAGACAGACCTTACAGTATACATTAACCAGATTACGGTCGAACTTTATAGTATACATTAACCAGGCTACAACGGACTTTGCAATATACATTAAGCAGGCCACGAACAGACTATGGGCTACACTTTATGATATAAATCAAGCAAGCTACAGAGATACCTTGCAATATATATTAATCAGACTACAGGAAGACTTTACAATATTAACCGGACTACTGTTTAATGACCATATTACAGGCCACTTTTTTTTTCTGCTAAAAACTGTGCATTCTCCAAAAATCCGAAATAATTCAATGATTAAAGGATATGATTTGTTAAACTATGGCAAAACAACTGTTTGGATTAATTTATAGCTTAAATTAATTAACTTCCCCATCCTTTGAACTTTTATTTAATGCGAAACATTTGCTTAATGCACTTTTTTTTTTGAAAAAAATTCTCTTTTAAATACAAAATTTTCTTAAATCGAAAGAAAAAAGAAAATGTTAAATTCATTAGAAATGAAATTGTAAAAGTTTAATGATACGATAAATAATACTTAAAACTTCTTCAATTCATCAATGAAAAAAAAAAAAAAAGTTCTCGAAGGATTTTTTTTTTTTTTGTTATGATCTCCTAAATTTCTGGAAGAGGAAAAAAAAGGTGGAAAGAAAAAGTTCTCTTTAATAGACCCAATAATTTTTATGATTATTATATGCTTGCTATTTAACATTGCTATTAATAATGTTAATGTTATGTTAGTGTTGATAATGATAAGGGAATTGTAAAGGTTATTGTTATCTTTAATTAGGTCAATTTAGCTTCAAATTTGGTATGATAATAATGATAAGCTAAAAATTGGTCATTGAAATTAATTCTATTTGGATTTCTACAAATTCAACGATTGAAACAATTTTTACATAATAGGATATTGATAGGATTTTTTATCTTTAAAGGCTAATATTTTAGTCAATTTTTTAGTTCAATTCATGCATAAATATCTGTCCCCAAATTATTTACTTTAATTTTTAATTTCCATTATCAGGATAAGGATAAGCATTTTTCTAGAAATTTTAAATATCACTTAGTAAAAGTTACTAGTTTTATCAGCATGACAGATATTTTTTTGCATAATAAA